CGAACCCACGCCATCTTACGATGATCAGGAAGCTGTGAAGCTGGGTATTAAGGTGGACCTTAACCTGACGCCTTGGACCAACTCGGCCATCTTGCCTTGATTGATGAATTGGGCTGCTGTTTAATGCTATATATTCCAGAAGATCTGACATAACAATAACGAGGTTGTTATATGGCCATAAGTGTGCCTGAAATCGCTTACATGCAGTGATTGACTCGTATTTTATAGGTGGGTCTGTTATGGGGCTAACGAGAAACCACAACTAAGATTGATAAAAGTTTATCGACTACTTTTGAGACACAAACCTTACCAAGTATATGTTGGCAGAACGCGAGTCAGTAGATGTAGATATGGAGTGTGATAGGAGAATACTATTCAAGTGACGATGATACTGCCATCGTCGGATATATAAGCAACCAATGTGAATGCAGTGTGTTGTAAACATGTCAGATATAGACTGACCTGGCAGGATATGCTTGGGAAATATACACCGTCTTATGCCAGCTGACTAATGCACTAGGCGACACATGGCATCCCGAACAACAACTGCTGCTGCTTGTCTTCACGAGCATTTGAGCTGAACGATGGCTAACTGGATCAGCATCCCCCATTCTATCCTTTCTATCACATGGGAGTCTCTGCCACATTAAGCTTTGATTATCCTGCGGTCAAGCGGCCACCTGGGGTAAACAACACGGCTGGCCTGTAATCCATCTGCTTTGTTCGATACGGTGATACCCAAGCCTCTCTTATTTTGAGTTTCAGTTCCATATTCTCCAATTTCGCTGCTTCTTTCTTTCTTCCCAATCTTTCTTACCTGTTCTGCTTCCCTGATTGCCTCCCAATCAGACGCCACAAGCCATGGCGGACGGTGAACCCTCATACATAGACTACGAGGCCTTCCTAGACCCGGAATTCTCACCCGCCTCGTTTGCCAATTCCTTGGTTGTAGCCACCAACAATGCAACAGACACACCGCTGGATCTTTCAACCCCGCTTTCACGGGTGTTATTCGATCTTCAGGAGATCGACACCCACATCCATGCGCTGACCACTAAGTCTGCCCTCCCCCTACTGACGCACACGCGCGACCAGACCGCCGCAGCGGGCCGTATCCTCAAAGAAGCCGAAGAGCAGATCGCTTCGGTAACGCAGGGATATGAGCGGCTGGAAAGGGAAGTTCTCCGCAAATGGGAAGCTGCCGATGAGGCCAGGGTGGGTGCAGAGAAGTCGTTGGCTACTGTACGACTCGCACGAGCGGTTGCACGCTGTCTTTCTCTAGGCCGACAGCTGGACAGCCAGCTCGCAGAGATCGGAGGCCTTGATGCTACAGCCCCTGCAAAGGATGACTACCGGACCCTGGAACGGGCCGCCTCCACGATTGTGAGTCTACGTCGAATGTTCTCTGAGACGGCAGTAGGCGAGGAGGGTCACGGACTAGACCGCGTCAAGGTCATCCGAACGCTGCGCAGTGAGCTTGTCATCCCCGCCGAGAACATGGTCAAGACGAGAGCCCAGCAAGCCATCGGCCGGTTTACCATGTCGACCATTGCAAGCGCGGGCTCTGGCTCCCAGTCTCAAATGAGCTACAAACAGGCGCGCGATGCCAGAGCACGCCTCGTTTCTGCCGTCAACATCTTGTATCTCTTATCGCCGGTCCCCAAAAATGTCACCTCCGCAGCAAGCTTCCAGCCAGACTTGCTCCTCTCAACCCTGCAAGGATACATGCAAACGGCCATTTCCTCGTCCCTGAGTAACCTCACTCGGGCGCTCACCATGTTGCCCACTCTCGAGCGCACTCTCTCCGACCTGTCTGCACGCTGCCAGGATGTCTTTGCCCTGGAAGCTATTCTCAACAACCTGCGTCCACCCTCGCATCCACTCTTCCCCCCAGCAGCACCTGCTGCAGCTGCAGCTGCTGGCACCCGCAACGGGGAACAGCCGGAACCACAGGTCCAAGCCAGTGGCAAGAATAATCTGCTGCAACCATTGCTGAATGCTCTTGACACGTCTTCCCTCCCATCCTACTTTTGGCGATCACTCGCATCGTACCTCGCGGCTCGTGTGCAGGAAATCATCAACCGCGGCGGCGTGTCCGCCCGGACATTGCGCTCCAACCGGGACCGTATCAAGAAGGAAGTCAAGGACTGCGTTCTGCGGGGCTCGCAGCTCCCCACATCAATCCTCGGCACTGAGAAGCGACTGGGGGTTGACTCGGGATTGGAGAGGAGCTGGGAACGGGAAGCAGCTGTTATGGTCAGTTCTATTGCCAGTGTACTAGATAGACAGGCATGATGGGGAGCGCATTTGAGGCGGTGCAGTATGTATTATAATGATAAATAGCTACCAACTAAATACAATAACGCCATAATATACCCTACCACATCACATCAAACACATGCATGTGCAGTGAGTAAGCAATTACCTCAGGGCACACAGTCAAAGCAAGCAAGCAAGCAAGTAGGCAAGAAAGAGTAAGTAAGTAGTACAGCAGACCCATTTCCCATGTGAAATGAAATGTGAAATAGACAGGTACACACTGACCGCATACATGCATACATGCATCATCATGATCATCAGCTGACACCAACCCACCTGCGCCCCATCCCATCCCCCCTGGCTTGCCTTATCCTTCCACATCTCCAAACAAAATAAATAGTAAGCGTGAAGGTGGGAGGTAGTAAGTAAGTATTACTCAACTGTGCAACCATACATCTCTCAACCAATCATTGGGAGTTTGACTTCGCCTCACACTTTTTCTCTTTCCCTCTATTTTTCTTTTTTGTTTTTCTTTCTTTTCTTTTTGTTACTGGAAAGTTCACTTACTACTACTAAGCAAGCATACGTATGCTTTGACTGATCTGATTATTTTGATATTTAATGTTTGTGGGCTGGTAATATGTCGGAGGATATCTTGTTCATATTTAGGGTTTCTTTCTTCTTGATACTTTTTAACTAATATAGTATACTAGTTTTAGAATGGATTGTTGCTTTTTTTGCCACTACGTAAGTGAGTATGTATGTTATGTCTGTGCCTAGATTACGATACGCACTGACTTAAACTTTGGATCCTCGATAAAGTAGTGATGCGTAAGTAGTATATAGGCTGTGTAGGTGGTAGGAGGATTGTTGGTTGGTTGGTTGGTTGGCTGGCTTGATGTATGATGTGAGTCATACATGTTACTTAACTAGCAACTTACTTACTTGGTCTACAAGTAATCAAGTAAAGTATTAGGTTCAAGATTTGGGGTCTGGAGTTTCGATCTTAGTTTCTTAATCTCTTATTTGGGTTGGGTGCTACAAAGTAGTAGTGTATTTATATATACCTTGGGTGTTTGGGGGAAAGGGTACGAATACTAGTACTAACTAGTATATATTCTTCGGCGGAAAGGGATTCAGATTTAGGACGAATGGAAGGAAAGCACCGTTTAGTAGATACTTACTTGCGCTATGATAAATGTATTTTAGTAGTGTGCTGCATGTGTTTTGCCGCCGGAGAGAGAAAGAGAGAGACAATCACATAATGTAAGACGTCAGCATTCTGGATCCAGGACCCGCTGTGATCTGATGGTCTTATACGTAAGCGTTTAGGTGGATAACTTGTTGCTGATGGGATTCCTAATTATCTTTATTGTTCTTTTATTTCTATTTGTTTTATTGTATATATTCATTAAGTGGTTGGATTATTGATCACCTACTACTATACGGAGAAGATGGTATAAGTCTAATGAACATTGAAGTACTAGGTAATGTTAGTAGTAGTAGTAGTAGATACCCCAACAATACCTTACCAGGTACACCCCTCTCTTGCAACGCAGGTACCTGCTTTGTACTCCATCTCTCAGCGGGTAGCACAAGCAGACTAAAGAAAAACGAAACCACTACTAGTTTAGTCCTGTCAGCCAGTCAGCTAGGCCAGATAGCACACACACACACACACACACACACACGTACATCCGTGCACGCGCCCTTCTTTTTCCCTTTCTTCTAAGTACTCTCCCTTCTTCTCATTAGCCCCGGGGACATCCCACTTGGACTACACAGTTACTGTACTTATCATACCCCCGCTTTCCCATTGATAAGAACCCGACGGCAAGGAGGGGAAGGGGAAAAAAAAAGGGAAATGAAATAATAATAGATAGATTAGAGGCGAGGGATGCATTGGCAGTTCCCGTCATCACCGATATCGATGTTTCAGATACAACAGGGATGGGACAGACCCGTGTCACCTGTCATCAATCATCATCATCATTATTGATTGAACCTGTCTTACGGGATCCCCTCACACCCGCTCTTATCCCTCTTCAGCATCTATACAACCATCTTCTCCTCTTGTCTCCCTCCCGCTTCCCCTTGATGGACATCGTAGTAGCCACTCCACTATAGATGATCTTGGCACAAAAGGGGGGAAGCTAAACCTGATTGACTCTCTATTTTGCCCCTCAGTGGCGCGCGCGTGTGCCGGTGGGCTTATCAGGTTTTGGAAATGAGGGGCAAGCAACCAGTGCAAATGGAGGAGAAAGATGGGTGGTGGTGCAATGATGAATGGGCCTGCTGGTCGGGGAGGCGTGGTACCTTTACCTGTGCGTTCGCCCGTGCTCCTGTGCCTTACCTGCTCTTGGGCCTGTTCATTGGTGGATTACTAGACTGGCAGTGCCACGTCGATCACCCAGACCGGATCTCTGCAGTGCTAGAGGGGGGAACTAACTTACCCGCCCTTTTTTACGAGACGAGCGTTTCCACCCCCTCTTCCCTTTCGACCCTGGGAATGATGGCGAGATCGGACTTGGTTTAAGGTGCTATATTTTACGATCCTGCTGGGAGTTGAAGGTCTGGGGGGACCGGACTGATTCATCTAGAGCTTGGTGCCGCTACCTTCCGAGTGGAAGTTAGGTTAATCCAGGATCGGGCAACTGACAGGTTGCTTCATACTGACATATGACATATGTCGTTGTATAGCACGGCTTAGGTTGGAACAGCCTGTTCAGCGTGTGGGTTTCCAAAATAGCTGGATATTGGCTGCCAATCTGGGCTGGAGAGAAGGGCACACAGTACTGTAAAACCCCCCACGATCCCATCAATAAGGCCAATGCGGGACACTAATGCATTGTTCACATCTTTACTCACCACGGTAAAGTAACTTTTGCGAGGCTCGCAGGCCTATACTCCGACGTCCTATAAGCACGGTGCTCCGCCTACTTGGGTTATCTCTTCCATGCTCAGGCTAAGTAGCCCCGCGCATGGAGATTCCAGGGAAAGCTGCTGTCAATCGGCGCGGTTTTGACTCCAATCTCCATACCGGGGAGCACATCATCACTCTAACATGTGGCGTTAGCTGTCCGCGTGCACCCCCAGATGGACTCCTCTTTGTCCCGCATCAACCAGAGGTCATAGACGCGATGAAGAAGCTTCCATCGACTCCGTGCCGTTTGCAGGTGCTAGAGAGGCTGGCGAGGAGATGCGTGCAGACACCTGAGTGCCCTACTTTGACTTTGCTCCGGGTTTTCTCCAAAGTCTAAATGAATTGAATTACTATTGTCCACCGGGGTCTTGAGTTCAAGAAGGAACCTTATCAAGGTCCTGAACGCGGCCATGATAAAGCCTGCTGGGGGGTTAATGCTGCGCTCTTCGTTAATCAGGAACAAGCTTTCAGCCAGTTAGTTCAGGCCTGACGTATATCACTGCTATTAACATCGACATTGTCATGACGATACTGCTAATCTTCCTTGGTGGGGGTTATGAAACGGAGTGAGCGTCTCAAATAGAGTGTGCCGTAGAATGTGAGACGACACTGAGATGTCGAGCCATCTACTCAGTAGTATACCGGCGAGGACATGAATTTGTGACGAGGCCGATGTAAGGTACTGCAGCGTTCGGCCCGGAGAATTCCACCTCAAACTGCAGGTGTGGAAGCCCCGGAACCCATTGTGCGACATTCCGTTCGTATTCCATGCTGAATCCTGCTGGTCCTGGGCCGTTTGATAATCCAGTCAGGCGTTGGCCGGCTTACGCAGTCGTCGCACCCTGTGCCTCCCCTCTCCTGCAGCATTGCAGCCTAGATTTCACAATATACCGTCCACACTGAAAGAAAGGTGGGACCTTCATGTACCTTTAATCCGTTTAGTCTATACGGAGTCTAGTTGGGCAGGCAGTCAGTCAGTCAGTCACAATGTGTGTATCTAGGCAATTAGTCAACTTTTCCCCATTTCACTATTCTTTCTCTCTTCTCCCCCTCTCGAACCCCCGGATTGCCCGGTAACGCCGCTCTGTGCCACGCCACGAGACATGGCACACACTCTGCACCGCAACATTTGGCTCAGGCCCTTTTCATTTTCCCCTCCGAACTCACGAACGGATGTCTGGGTGGTGGACAGACCAAAGGCGAAGAAGAGAAGAGCAAGATCTAGGCTGGGGGTTTTGTCACCGGTCAAACTTACCAGACAAAGGGGCGAGGGAGCATTGAGTGGTTAACGTCACCGAGAGTCGCCGCCCGTGGGCCATCCGCGGAGGATTTCTGGTCAGCACCTGGACTCAGCCGGGCAAGAACGATTCATGAATCATCAAACAGTAATCCGTCCAGTTGACGGGCAGCCCTGGCACCGGGAAAAAGTAGCCGATCGGTCACCCCCTCTGCGGTGCCCCACTGGCTGCAGTGCCTGGTGCCTCACCACTCACCACTCTTTTCTTGGACGGGGCCTCCTCCGTTATATGAACTGTCCAAGAAGGACCCTTGATCCAGACGACCATGGCACCGCTCCAGACAGACCTGGGCCGAGAACTTCTTTTGGGGCCAATTTAGCCAGCCTTACCGAGAAACAACCTCGAAGAAGCCCATTCATCCGAATTAGTTTTGGGTTCTCGAGGGAAGGTGTTCAAACCCTTGGGAAGGGTCTTCGCAAGCCAGCCCATCTTGTTGCCCGCTTCCTTCTCTGGGGATTGCTAAGCGCTGGGTTCCTGATACGGGGTTCATACCGGCGCGTACGAGCGGTATTGATTCCGTGTGCCCCATCCTCTCTCATTTTCTGTCTTCCTTGGGATACTGGATACCTCCAATCTCGCCATATCGGTGTATCAGGTACATTGCCTCGTAGATTTTATCGTAACTCTCTTTTCTTGTCTCTTTTCTCTGCGATGTGTCGGGAAGGGATAAAAACCCGGGGTTGCCGACCGATGACCACTCGATGAAACAGAATCCTACAGTCCAACTTCCCATCGTTCAGGCAAATCCAAGGCTCCAACCCTCGGCGAGACTGGCTCATGAATTCATCCAACTGGAGTATCTCCACCGGTCTTGCGATCGATGATTCGTGTCCATCGGTCCGGACCAAGTCGTCAGTACCTGGGGCTAGAAGAGTTTACCTATCAACCTTCACTCTCAAACCCCCCGGTGAGTTCATTATTCGCCCGAACTCTATAGAGGACAAATCCGCATCGTCACCGTCATGTTGATCAAACTGTAAACTCAGGCGCTATCCGTTCCTCTCCAAAACGATCGTACGTAGCATTGCGGCGGTGACTGGCCAAGTCGCCGCTCTCTATCTAAGTACCCTGTACCCCCGACCGAAGGTACTCAGCCTTGTAGTCTGAATAGATGGTGGTTTTTTCTTTTTTTTTTTTCCCTTTCTTTCTTGTAGGGTAAATTTGTCTGGTACCCAAAGGGGGAAAAAGAGAAGAAAAATATTAAGTAAAATAAGGATTCTTACTCTTTCTGGATGAGTATTCGACTTTATACTTACCACTACCACTACCGCTACCACTATCTACCACCATTACTACTTACTACTTAGTACTCTTATTCTCTCTCCACCGGTTTTCTCCCCCTCCTCTTGACGCCTGTTTCGTCTCTTTCTGACCTTCTCCCTCTCTCTTCATCTTTCTCCCTTCTCACCTCCTCTTTCTTCTCTTTCTACCACCATCTACTATCTATTTACTACACTACTCTTCCTGCCTGTGGCCCCTCGTTTCGCCGTCCGCTGCCGAATCGACCGTTGTTTCCGACAAGCCTCCAGTTGCTTCTCCATCTACTCCTGAAGTGTTTCTGGCTGGGGTCCTGACGCCCGGCACTATCGTCGTCACCATTCACCTGTTTGGGGTGGGTGGGTTGCCGTCATCTTCACCCTGGTTACAGGCTACACACTATTAGTACTACTACTACTACTACTACTACTACTACTCGTATGGACTCTCACCCTTCCCTTCCCTCCAATCTTAAAGTTTTGGGATCCATCAGCCTCCTCTTCCTCTCTTGTTGTTCTTTTTCTTCGCCTACTTACTTGACTTTCCCGTCTCACCCTCTGACCATCCATCCTTCTTCCCTTTCCATTCTTTCCCATCCTTCCTTTCCCTTCCTTTCCAACAAATCCCCCTCCCCCTTCCCCTCATCCTTCCCATCCATCACCGCCCCTCGTGGCCCTGGTGCCTGTACATCATCGCTTACTAGTGCCCAGCCTAGCTTGGACCTGGTTGGTTTCGTCCCTATACTATTTATATGATTCATACAATTCTTGATTTTTTTGTGGCAATCCATATCACATTTTAGATTCTGATTTCGGTTGTTGTTTTTCTTTCTTTTTTCATCCTGTTCTATTTTCATTTGACTTCTCCGTTTATTGTTTCCGTTGCGCATGCCTGGTTTCTCCCCGGACGATCCGTAAACCAGGGGCCCGATCGGTTCGCGATACACCTATTTTTATTGCCATTAGTTCAGGTCTTGGCTGGGTCGGTGTCCTGACTGTCATACCCACAACCAGGACTCGACGTCGGCGGGAAACTCGATCGAGTCCGCCAAATCTCTCCAAACAACAACCACCGCTGACCACCTCCAACTACCACGTCCTCAACCTCCGTCGCCGCCGCCGCCTCTTTTCCTATTAGTGATCACCGATACACCTGCCTTAAACCTCACCTCCCTCCCTTCTCCGTCATCGTATCCTTCTGCCCGTTCAGTCCACCAGTCTTATCTGTCGGTCGATCAACCAGCTGTCCCTACCTCCTCTCGGCCAGGTCGATCTGTGAGCGATGCGTCCTCACACCTAATGGTCGTGCCCTTCCATCTATCGTGTACAACCTGGCTACCCTTGCTTCGCCATCTTCGTCGGGCATTCGGCTAAACAAGTCATCGCCATTTGTCTCCAACATTCCTCACTTTTCAACCCCTCGCTCGGATTTCAAAACACCTTGAGTTACCTCCCCTCCTTCGTAAGTTTTCCAAAATTCTTTTTTTTTTTTACTCCCCCTCCTCGTTCGCCCGATACCAGAAACCACAAAGATCCCCCTCACTACTCCCTTGCTGGTAATGTTTACACCTTTGAGGGGGTAAAATTTATTCACAACGGAAATTATGTTTAAAACACGATGGTTCATTCGCTTACATTGCTGCGCACATTTATCCAGTAGTCAGCATCGTGCGATCGACACCGCGTTTTTGACATCTTGAAACCCTCCATCTTTCACCCTTGAAACGGCTCGAGCTCGCATTCCGTCGATCGCTCGCCTGCCCGGTTTTCGGAACAGTACATAGACTACTCGGTGGAGTCGAGGGCTGCCCTCGCTGTCAATATGTCTTCATTTTTACCTGTGAATAATATTTCATCGCCGCCAGACCGCGTCATGGAGGAGGCGACAACATCTTCTACACCTCGCCCTCACGCCAAGCCCGACGCGGCGCCCCAAGATACGACATCGTCCATGATCGCTGCCCACGACGAGAGCACGCCTCGGAATATAAATAGCATTGAAGACACTCATCACCATGCCGACTCCCAGGGGAGTGCATCGCTGACCTCAGAGGATGCTGTACACGGTGAGTCGGATGAAGGATCTGAACATGAGGCGGAAAATAAGGGTGGCGCTCCACCTTCGAAAAAGAAGAAGGGTCAACGATTCTATTGCACAGACTTCCCACCGTGTAACTTGAGTTTTACAAGAAGTGAACATCTCGCTCGACATATCCGCAAACATACCGGAGAACGTCCGTTTCAGTGTCACTGTTCACGTCGCTTTTCCCGTCTCGATAATCTGCGACAGCATGCTCAGACGGTGCACGTCAACGAGGAAATCCCCGGTGACTCTCTTGCAGCCACTGGAACACGATTCCAGCGCCAGATCCGGACAGACCGTGTACGACCCCAAGGTCGAGCTAGAGCAGGAACCGCGGGCAGTCAGGGAACCCATAGCAGAGGTCACAGTCGAAACCTATCTGCCTCGAGCATTACCTCAACTGCGTCCACCTTCAGTCAGCCCCAGGAGCTTCGTCGCCGACCTCCACCCTTGATGATGGCGAATGATAGGGCGCGCCTGATGGAGCCGATGGACGCCCCTAGCACGCCACCAGCCCGTGGAATACCCGGTCCAACAGCCGGCGGATCTCCCTACACGCCGTCTCACCACATCTTCTCAGCGGGCGGCAACGGCAGCCCACACGTGGCTTCCCCCATCTCTACAGCATCACAGGCCTCAGGCTTCTGGGAAGGCAAAACTGCCGCCCGCCGTCTCTCCGTTCCTACGGGTGCGAACCCGTTCGCGTCGCAACACGTCAATGCCTACCCGCCGAACTACGTTCCAACGCAAGCGTATGCTCCTCATGGAGGCGCCTACGCGAGCCCTGTCAGCTCGTCCTACTCACTACCCCGCGACGAAACAAACCACGGTGCTACCGACGCTGATCTCCGGAGAAGAACTTGGCATCCTTCGACTTGGTCTACGGTCCCTCGGCCTGCTACAAGCGGTCTTAGCAACTATCAGACGCCAGAAGTGTTTAAGCCATCTTTTGGCGCCAATGGATCAACAGAGCAGCCACCGCGGCTGCCTGGAATTGAGAGCTTTGATAAGGTGGTGGCTCAAAGGCCCTTGACACCGCCCGTTCGGCGGTCGAGTCCGATGCAAATCGACAACCCTAACAAGCCTCCTCCGAATTATAACCTTGCCGGGGGCTACAACTACACACAGCCCGCTAAACGACCGGCGCCGCCAATCTCTGGCCCTGGTCACCGACGGGGCCATGTCTCTTGGGACATGTCATTGCACACGAACCTTACTGGTCTGCACATCAGAGACAAGCCTCCACAGCGGGACGCATCGAACTGGAGCCAGCAGACCATTGCAGAGATTCACAATGTGGGATCTCGGCCCTCGTCTTCGTACCAACCACAGTTCCACGAATACCGAGGACATGGGCATGCTCCTTCCTACACCAATGCTACCTCGAACTCTCAGGCCACGCGAACCTCGCCTGAGGACTCCAGTAGCAGTGAAGGGGTACATACTCCCTCAACGGCGTCCCTGGAATACCATCCCGCCATTGTGCACAACAATGGATATGTGGAGCCGCACCACCCCCCGTTTTCATCCGATACTTCTCATGCAGTACGCACCCGTTACCCGGAGTATCGCTGAGGGCCAAATCACTGATTGAACTGCAGGCCTGTCCCCCGCTTCCCCCACAGACTGATAGCTATCACGGCAAACATGATCCACGGTCCGAATTCCTGCCCCACACTGCCCGAGAGCCTGGAATGGGTCGGCTGGAGGCACTGGTTGCCGTTGCCACGAGTGAGAACAAAAGCGCAGCGAAGCTGTTCCTGTGAAGGAATCGTGGTGTGAGACATGTTGGGATGTCCTCTGCGAGCAGGGGTTCTGAGTGGTTTCAATTCTGAAGTCGATCTTTCTCGGTTTTCCCGCCATTTCCTCTTTTGTTTCGAGCCGGAGTTGTATAGTACGGGGCGCCCGGTCTTTTTCTTTCTGGGGGATCCTCTACATTTTCTTTGTTCTTGATATAACTGCGAATTGCTAGATACTTAGCCTCTCGTTACTCGGAGCTGCACACCACCGCTCGGCTGCGGGAATCTTTATGATGTGATGACTGACGAATAATGCATCAGTGGGTTGGATCGATATATGGGCTCTCTGACAATTGCTGTGTCTTCGTTCGGGTGTTTTCTTTCTCTTTGTCTTCTTGGTTTTCTTGTCCGGTTGCATGTTTTGGCGTTCTCATCACCTCCGGTCTGCTGTCCATAGTGCATGAAGATACCCCCCGGCCTTGATCTCGAGCTCAGCTACGAGGTTATGGAAGGAGTTTCCTACTCTGGTCGTGGTGTGGCTTCGATTGTGTGTTCGGCTTCTGTCTATATCCATCCATTGCGCTCTCCTTATGGTGTCCAAGTGTGGCCCTCTGTGTATTTCATTATATGTGTCTTTTTTTTTTCTGCGACAGTGAGGATTCAATTAGCAACCAGCTGCGGGTAAAGTGATAAATGTCAGAGATTTAATTCCATTCCAGTTGTACTTTGTAACTGGTGGGTAACTACTACATAGTCAACATGAAGTAGATAACAGCCCCATCATGACGTGTTCGATTTACACCAGGCCACTCCAGCAACATCTACCCTATGTCCTTCGTTAGTACTTGTGTCAGAAGCAAGAAGAGTTGGGTCATGGAAGCCGTTGGACCCGATGACCTTGCAGTGACGTAGTGTCGGTCCCGCAGCCGATCCTCGCCGCGCCGGAGCAGCATAGCTCTGTAGCTATCTGCAAATACCTCTACTGCAGAGAACAATATATGGGAGAAATAATCGACTTACAAACCTCTACAATAAAATAAAGTACCCAATCATCTGATCGCACAAGCAAAAACACCTTATAATTTATAAGTAAAACAAAAAAACAAAACAAAACAAAAAAAGAACCGACTGCACCACCCGACAAGAGGAGAAGAAGACCGAAGCCGGACCCCCAACCCCCCAAAGACGTCATACCCTGTGACACTTGCCTAGTTAGCCACTGCACTCATTACTTTCTTTCTCTCTGCCCAGCCTAACAACTAAAGTTCATTTTCAACTTCAACTCATCTACAATCTATAAGTACCTGTCTGTTGTCTCCCTCCTGTACCGGATTCCACTCAAGCTTCAAACAACAATAACAAGCATTCCATTCGAATTGTCTATATTTCAAGAAGATCATACATATACATAACATCCACCATGTCGAAGAACCCTACCGCCCTCTACCTCGGCATTGCTGCCCTCGGCGCCGGTGGCTATTACATGTACCGCGCTGGAGGCGATCCCAAGGTTGCGAAGGAAGAGATGAGACGTATGCTTCTCCCTTAATTCATTCATTCATTGTGTTGTTGATCATGTTGATGGGTGTTGTTTGCTAATGCTGGATGTACGATGGTATTATAGATGACGCCCACCTCGCCCGTCTCAAGGCACCCACAGGCGATCAAGCCGAGAAGGCAGGTGAAAAGGCAGCGTATGAGGCACGGTTGAATGTTGATGAGGCGGTATGTCTATACCCTTAGTTTCTTATAACTGTTTCTTTCTTGGTGTTGAGAACGATGGATGCTAATGATGTTGTGTGATGATGGTGATAGATCGACACCGCCAGCAAAGACGCCAAAGATAGCATGAACCGTCTGGAGAAGATTGGTCGCGACAAGACGGCTGAGTTGCGCTCCGGGGCAGAGAAGTTGGAGGGTAAGGTGGAGGAGAAGGCAGCGGAGGCGAAGGGAGCGGTGTCGGGGTGGTTTGGGGGGAAGAAATAATAATCTTACAACCTCTTGGAAGTGATTTATATAATTGATGATGATGATGAGGAGGAGGAAGGTGGTTGATTGCAAAATGAGAGCTTAGCTGGGCTGGGCTTTTTATGCTGATGCTGATGCTGTTTTAATATGCATCTTTTTTTCTCTACTTTTATAATTATCGTGATGATAAGAATGACGAGTTGTGCCTTGTCTGGAAATGTCTTTTATGTACTTATCTACGTATATCTGGCTTGGTTAAGGTAATGGGAATGGTCATTACCACTGGTGTTATGTTAATGAATGATGCATTTATCTACCATCTTCTCTCTATGTCTGAATATTGGTGTCTGTATAGGTGGGGATATGGTGTAGTGGAATAGTTACGTAGTGTGCGGAGCCAGAGTATGACCTAGTTAGTAAGGTTGGATGACTACGGTCTAGCCAACTACTCAACTAAAGTGCAAAAATAGTGGAGAGAGAGAGAGAGAGCAACGTTCTAGAGCATACCTCCGTCCCCAAACCTGCAGCACTTAGTCTAGACTACAGTGCGGGGAGGGGGGGTTACGGTATGCTGCATTCCGAGACTGATTATTGCTCTAGAGACTGAGAAATATCAACATTCATTCATATATGACCAAGGAAGTATGGACAAAACATCCTCCCAAATTGAATAAGTGAATCAATGATATATTCTCTTTCTGCACTCATCGAAAAGTCAATGTGGTCATGATTTGCAGCTAAAGTTCCAACTCAAAACTAATATTACCCTTTCCGGCCGACACGGATACGCCAAAGACACCAGACGCGCCTTGATCGCGTCGCGCGTGAACTCCACCTCAAATCCACGCTACCCGCTGTTACCCATCCATTTGTCCCATCCCTTAAGAAAAAAAGAATAATCATTCCCCGTTTTAGTGGATTTTCTCTAACACTCATATTATCCTCTTCCTCTTTTCCCCGAACTTTCCATACATACACTACTACTACTTCTATCCTATCTTATTTAAAGGGTCTAATTGTTTAATAATTACTCTATGATACGCCAATAGGATTCCTATCCCTTAATTTCCTCATTTACATAATTGGAAACCGCGATGCCGCGCACTTATTCCACAAGGCAGGCGGCCAGAGGCCTGCAACAGCAGCAGCAACCGGGCATCCAGAGCTTCACAAGAGCAACTAAGCCTGGTGTTGTAGCTCCTTCCTCCTTATCGGATATTAAGAAGCCCGCTACGACAACGACGACGAATAATGTCCCGGTCACGCCTTCCAAGAAACGCAAACTGGTCGAGCTCGAAAACGTCGATTGCCGGGGTCCTCAGGGAGTGGAAAGCACGGATGCGGTCACGCCTTCCAAGTCTCTTCGATTGGGAGAATTGACCTTAAATACGCCTAGAAGTGGACATTATGCACGGTCTTCGGTGTCAGTGAGGAGGAGCGGCTCGGCTGCTACTGCTGTTCCTGAGCAGCCGCCGAGTACCCCCTCGAAGCGCGCAGGTGCTAGGAAGACAACCACAAAGCCAGCTCCTGTGAATGGTCGTGCAGCATGTGTGGAAGATCTCGTAAACCTGCATGGAGCGTTCCTGAAGGCTGTTGCGCTTCATGCTATGCACAATGGTGTCACTGCCCCTGCCGACCTAAGGGAACTGCTCCCTACCATTGAACGACTCTGGAAGAAGCGGAAGGTGGTAATTAAGGATCTGCAACGACTCATTTGGGTTCTGGACCAGGAGCCATCATCGACAGCCTTTCCCGGATATCGAATTGCGAATTATGGACTGGGAAGGGTGTGTTTGGAGCGAACTGTACGGGAGGGTGAGGAGCGGACGAGCGAGAGTGAATTGCAAGAGCGGTTTGAGCAGAGCGTGGATTTGCTTTGGGAGAAGGCATTGGATGCGGTGGACGGAGACGAATCAAGGGTGGACTTCGTCAACACGCTGGGCGTTGCGACGATCCAAGAGTCGTTGACACCGTTCACCACGTTCCGGAAGGGACAGCAACGGTTGCAGGACTTGAGGGGCGGAGTGATTCGACTGAAGACGGAGAAGCTACGCGCGGATGGGAAGGACGATGTGCCAGAGAAACCGATCGATGCGGCAAGTACGCGCCGGAAGGGACTGCTGGAGCGCATTAAGGATAAGCAGCTACGACAGGCGACATTGCCGCCGCCGCCGTCGAAGCAGGAGCTGCTAAGGAGGGCAGCTGCGGAGCGCGTGGAGGAGGTCGCGGGGGTTTTGGCGCTGCTCAGACCTGCTGGGTATGTCGGGACCGGAGCGAAGGCCGTGATGGCTGCGCAGCGAACGCCGTTCCGGATCGAGATGATTGCGCAGCACGTCCGGGATTCTGTGCGGAGTCCGATTTCCCAGCAGGAGGTGGAGATCTGTTTGGAGATTCTGGCCCGGGAGGATGTTGCCGGGGGGTGGGTGAATCTCGTCACGGTGAATCAGATGAAGTCTGTGGTTCTTAAATCATGTGCGGATGTCCAGCCCAAGGAGATTGGAGCCAAGGTGGCCCAGTTGAAGCTTGGGTGGGAAGGGTCTGAGGCGCAGAAGACTGTCGTCTCTGCTGCTTGATATGGTTACGTTGGATACACCTGTGTCTTTCGTTTGGATGGATGTTCTGTTTGATACCTCATCCGGGTGGCCTGGTATGCCTCCGGCATTATGATTGCATTGTCAGCGATATGTAGCATTAGCATATGTATGTAATGATAGTATAAAAACAACTTATAAGACTATGACTCTGTGCTTTTCCTATCCGTATATCCAAGTGTATTCTTTCCCCATCTTCATGTTCATACCTCAGGCAGCAGATCCCTTAATTCACCCGGCCGCGCGCGGACGCGTATACACGTGACCGCGTTTTCCGCAGCGCGTCGGCAGCCATACCTATCAACTATCAACTATCCGCAGCTTAGCTTTGAGCCCATACCTCCAACGACCGACAAGCAGGCGCACAAGTCTCTTTCCTCGTTGGAGATAGACTACAGCACCATGTCATCTCGACCAGATCTCAAGGTAAGCTCAGGCCGTTTTAGGCAATTAAGAAGAATGAAATCGGCTAACATTGGACTAATTGTACTGTCTAGGTGGACGACGAAGTCGGCTTCATCCGCTTCTACCGCTCCATTTCCTCCTCCTCCGACAACGACAACAACAATGAGACAATCCGAGTTTTTGACCGCGGAGACTGGTACTCCGCCCACGGCGCCGAAGCCGAGTTCATCGCTCGCACCGTTTACAAAACCACCTCTGTGATCCGCAACCTCGGCCGGAGCGACACAGGCGGCCTGCCCTCCGTGACGATGAGCGTGACTGTATTCCGCAATTTTCTGCGCGAGGCGTTATTCCGGCTTAATCGGCGAGTGGAGATCTGGGGCTCTGCGAGCGGGCGCGGCGGACAGTGGAAGCTCATTAAGCAGGCTAGTCCTGGTAACTTGCAGGATGTGGAAGAAGAATTGGGGAGTGTGGGTGGATTGAATATTGAGGCCGGGGCGCCGATCATTCTGGCTGTGAAGATATCTGCGAAGGCCGGGGAGGCCAGGAGTGTGGGGGTTTGCTTTGCGGATGCGAGTGTTAGGGAGCTTGGAGTGAGTGAGTTCTTGGATAATGATGTCTATTCGAATCTGGAATCGTTGGTGATTCAGCTGGGAGTGAAGGAGTGTCTTGTGCAGATGGACGCCGGGAGGAAGGATGTGGAGCTGGGGAAGGTGAGGAATATTATGGACAGTTGTGGGATTGCCGTGTCGGAGAGGCAGAGTGGTGACTTTGGGGTCAGGGATATTGAGCAGGATTTGACAAGGTTGTTGAGGGATGAGAGGTCTGCGGGGACGCTGCCGCAGACTGAGCTGAAGTTGGCAATGGGTTCCGCGGCGGCGCTGATCAAGTACCTCGGCGTTATGACGGATCCATCCAACTTTGGCCAGTATCGTCTGTATCAGCATGATCTGTCGCAGTTCATGAAGCTGGATTCGTCGGCGCTGAGGGCGTTGAATCTCATGCCGGGTCCGCGGGACGGATCTAAGTCGATGAGTCTGTTCGGGTTGCTGAATCATTGTAAGACGCCGGTAGGAAGCAGGTTGCTGGCGCAGTGGTTGAAGCAGCCGTTGATGGATAAGGCTGAGATTGAGAAGAGACAGCAGCTGGTGGAGTCGTTTGTGATGGACACGGAGCTTCGGCAGACGATGCAGGAGGAGCATCTGCGCTCGATCCCGGATTTGTATCGCTTGGCGAAGCGGTTCCAGAGAAAGCAGGCGACGTTGGAGGATGTCGTGCGTGTGTATCAAGTCGCCATTCGCCTGCCGGGCTTTGTTGCATCGCTGGAGAATGTGATGGATGAGCAGTATCAGACGCCTCTGGAAGCGGAGTATACGTCTAAGCTGCGCAGCCATTCGGATAACCTGGCGAAGCTGGAGGAGATGGTTGAGACGACGGTGGACTTGGATGCGTTGGAGAACCACGAGTTCATTATCAAGCCGGAGTTCGATGAGAGCTTGCGCATCATTCGCAAGAAGTTGGATAAGCTGCGTCATGATATGGACTCGGAACACCGCCGCGTGGGCCGGGATCTGGACCAAGAAGTGGACAAGAAGCTGTTTCTGGAGAATCATCGTGTGCATGGCTGGTGCTTCCGACTGACTCGCAACGAGGCAGGCTGTATCCGCAACAAGAGAGAGTACCAGGAGTGCTCCACCCAGAAGAACGGTGTCTACTTTACGACTTCGACAATGCAAGCGCTCCGTCGTGAGCACGATCAGCTGTCTTCCAACTACAATCGCACCCAGACTGGTCTGGTTAGCGAGGTCGTTGGTGTAGCTGCTTCCTACTGCCCTGTCCTGGAGCAGCTTGCTGGCGTTCTAGCTCATCTCGATGTTATTGTGAGCTTCGCGCATTGTGCAGTACATGCCCCTACGCCCTATGTCCGCCCCAAAATTCACCCGCGCGGTACTGGAAACACGATTCTGAAGGAGGCGCGGCATCCCTGCATGGAAATGCAGGATGATATTTCATTCATCACCAACGATGTGTCGCTCATTCGTGATGAGTCTTCCTTCCTGATTATTACCGGTCCCAACATGGGTGGTAAATCGACCTATATCCGACAGATTGGCGTCGTTGCGCTGATGGCTCAGACGGGCTGTTTCGTGCCCTGCTCCGAGGCGGAGCTGACTATATTCGACTGTATCCTTGCTCGTGTTGGTGCGAGTGACTCGCAGCTCAAAGGTGTGTCGACTTTCATGGCCGAGATGCTTGAAACCTCAAACATCCTCAAGTCCGCG